CCCCCCCCCCCCAATATTGGAGGAATATTTTTGTCATTTCAAAAAAAATGAGATATATAAATTATTACTCAGCCTGTCGATTAACAAAGATCGAATATCGCGCTGTGATGTTTATTCCACGATTCTTTCGGAGGAGAGGGAAAATTCGCGCGAAGGATTTATGTAAAGTCGCTCTCGATAAATTGGGCGGATGTTTATGTTGCGAGATATCGAGAGCGAGCGAAGATTGATTCGGAGGTTGCGCCAACAGACTGCATTCACGATGCACACAGTACGTGGAAACTTGTCTACGAAATTCCGAAAGGGATTTTTATCTTTTAGAGTGATTTTATTATAACGTGTAGAGGTCCTCTAGATCGTTGGATCGTGAAACTCGAATCCCAATCGGAGTGTCTGTATTTCTGGCGGTCGACCAAATTTTTCATTCGGATATTCACTCGCATTTAACAATCGATTTAACAAGTCGTTGTCTCATTTTGATCGATTGTCACAATATATCGTTTCTTCCCATATTTTTTCTTTTTCTTCAAACATCAAAAACATCAAAAAAGACAGAACTAATTTCATTAATTTTAACATGATTTCTTCATTACGTTTTAAAAGTTATTCCTTTCAAATGTTGACCGCCAGATCGTTCGCAAATTTATGCTCTTCGTTTTAGTAGGAATATTTTTCGCATATTGGTATATTATGTTTCCAAGAATGTATCAACTATCGTTCATCTTTAGAATATTTGTCACAAGTCGCTGATCAATGTTATTTATTGCCAAAATTGTCTTTCTATTGAACTGTCGAGCTCGAAGAGAATATTTCTACAAAACTCCTTCGACTCGTCAACTATTGTTGAAAGATTCGTATCGTTCAATCCAATGATGGAGATTGTGTTTGTATCCACTTAGAGAACTCTCCTCTTTAACCACAAAAAAATCTATTTGTCCTATGATCTTCGTTTAATTTCACGATTTCTCTCTCTTTCTCGACGCATTGTATAAAACACCCTAAATTCGATCGAGAACGCGACAACGATAACGACACGGTGAAACTTGCCATCGTTGGAAATTAATTACACCTCGAGCGGATGATGCGCCGAGCGTATCCGCGAGCATACACGCCACGTGTTTCCCTGTGTGTTCCTGATAATTACGCCTATGCAGTTCTTAATTAGTCTCGCGGAAACCATAATATCACGGTGGAGAACGATCGATGTCGCTTACTGGCAATTTTCGAAAGTTTCATCAACGAAAGTTCCTTCTTCGTCGAAGTTTCGTCGTCCCTCGCGCTTTTCGCCACCGTTTCGTCATGGAACTGATTTATGTTACGCTTCGAGGGGAAATTTCCAACTGCGAGTACAGGTGTGTTATCGCGCGGCAACTCTGCGAGATGACGAGTCGTAC